AGGAAACAAATCCATAGGTTAAAGTGGCTTTTTTTAACACACATAGCCAGTTAGTAATAGAGTACAGGGTGGAATACAATTCTTTTTCCTCTCAGTCCATTGTTCTATTTCTCTTCCCTTTCCCTCATAGTTGAGCAGTTTTTGGGATAATGTGTTCCTTATAGCTCTAGTTGCAAGGATGTTATTATATGTGATAAGAGAACAAAAGGGTGTATATGGTGGGAGGGTACTCCATGGTCAGTTAAAACTGAGGAATGTTTAGCTTTCCTTGAGCCTTCTAAGAGTTTTTAACATGCTATTATGTATTGGGATTTATAAGGGCATAAAGACTGTGTTACTGTGTTTATTTTACCTTAAATTGCAGATCCCTCCTCCTTTTCTCAGAGCATCTCAAAGAACTACTGACTCTTTTGGGAAACACTGCTCTCAAGTAAATTTACAGCTCTCTTTGAGAAGACATCCTTCATGGATATTCTGAATGGTATATCAATTACCGTGGTACCATGTAAACCATAATAAATCTCAAAGTTCAGTGAGATACTAGAAAAAAAATATTTGCTGTTCAGAACTATACATACAGTATAGAGATTCTTTTCCACCTATGGTGTATAAAATCAATATTTGTGTTTAGTTTTGCAGGTTTTTCAAGGATCAGTTAATATGCAAATACAGTGGTGATATATCCATAGTACATCTGAATAATGCTTTTGTATGCCACTTTATAGTTTTCAGACTGCTTTCATCACAACCCCATCAGATAGGCAGGTGTTAAGTATTACCAGATAAAGCACTGGTGACTGAGACAGAGGTTTTTGTGTGTGTGTGTGATTTTTCCTTTCAGTTTATACCACACAATGATGGAGCCAGAATTCTGTTGCAGAACTTCTGACTCCAAGTCCCGAGTTCTTTACTCCATACCTGGTTTCTTATTTTTCTTCTGGCTTTATATTTTACAATGAAAGGTGTGGAAACAAATCTTAAAGTAGTACTACTTTGACTTATTATCAAATATTGATTCTTTTTTTATTGCAGTGACCCCAGAAATGTAACTCTCATTCTAGTTATCCCAAAGAAAACCTTACGTTTCTCCTTTGAGTGCCACTTGCTTAGGTGACAGGAGTGTATTTCACATACCATTTGATTTTGAAACCAAGGTTGAATATTTACTTGTAATTGCTTAGGTAACTTTTGGAGTTGTATCAGTCTCTTCATTCCCAGGCAAGGTAGAGATGGATTGAAAGCAAAAAAGCATTCAAATACAGTATACTTCATTATTACACAAATGCTGTTTCTTAGCTTTAACTTGCTTTGAAGACCTACTGAAGTAACCTCTTTGTAAATGTAAAATATATTTTGAAATAAAATTGAGTGTTGAATGAATCAAGTAGTAAACTTTTGTCTTATTTCTGTTGAAAAATTTGATTTTTTGAGAAGTCAGAAATCAACAGATACTTCCCTCTTGTCTCTTAGGCCTTATATCTTGCATTTATTCTTTGACATCAGTGCTTATACTGAATGTTATCAATCTGACATTGATGGAGAAATGGTCCTGAAAAGTGTAAGGGTGGACTAGCCAGCCTCAGATTCTTTTCTACTCTGATCAGTTTCTTTTTGGCAGATAATCCAGTTCACCAAATATTTCTTCATGCTTCTCATTGCTTAAAACTATTGCTTAATTGCTTAAGCCTAGGAGCCCTTCACAAGGTGTGTGCTTCTGACAATCTCTCTTTGGCTATGCTCCCCAAACATCTAAGGTAAAGGGTGTTTGGCTCTCCTTCCCATCAAAATCACGCCGGGGCTCTCTAATTCTTAGGCTTACCCTTGAGTTTAGTCAGAAATAAACACCAATCTTTGCAGTCAGTGAGCAGCTGTTAAGAAACTGCTGCGTGCTAGGCACTAGGGGAAAGTAATTTTGAAAAGTTTTTTTTCAAAAAGTAGTAGTGTTGAACACAGCCTTGAAAGCGAAATCAGTCTTCTTGTCAAGTACCCAGATACTCCCTAAACGATTGCATTATCAAATACATCCTTAGTCCAGCTCGGGACTCGAGATAAGAACTCGCTCGGTGGAGCAGACGCTGCTCCCTCTGGTTTCTCAGGTAAAGTAGCGCTCATCGCTGCCCCTCGTCTTCCTCCGGCCGCGGCCCGAGATGGCGGCGGCCGCTCGCACGGCCGGGGCCCGGCAGGAGGCAGCTGCTGCCCCACGTTCGGCACCGGGTCTGCGGCGTCGGTGTTGGACCGCCTGTCTGTGGCTTGAGAACGGGCCTCGGCCCGGGCGGCGGGAGTCTGGTCCATCCGCGGTGCGGCGGCGAGGCCGAGCGGGCTGAGCGGCAGAGGAGGCTGCGGGGCTGGGAGCCTAGTGCCCACGCGGGCGCCCGACCGGCAGGTGCGCGGGCGCACAGGACCCGCCTGACAGCTGAGGCTCCGGCAGCCCCTGGCCCAGCGAGGTCCCTCGCGAGCTGGGAGGCCGAGCCAAGGTCTTCGGAGGCAGAGAGGACCCCCGCGGGGGCCCCGCTGGCACTTAGAGGTCCTCCTCGTTGTCACTCTTTAACGCACTGCGAGCACACCTTTGCATCCCAGTCTCAGTCCGGACTGTTGGCCACTCTGGCGGGGGCACTCCTGCCGGGCTCCGAGTCCAGCGTGCTCTCCCTGCGCCCTTTGTCCCTTTCTCCTGCGGTGCGTCGGCTCACCCGTCTCTCATTCACCCCGAGCCACCCTGCCCCTTCTCCTTCACCTGCCTGCTCACTTAAGTCGGCTTTTGTCCAGCTTCGGTAGAGTGATGTGCAGGACTGATAGTTATCCGGATACGCATCTTTTTGCCAAATCCCTTTTGGGATGAATGCTTTGTTTGTTGGTCCTAACAGAAGTCTGGAGTCAGCTAACTGACGCGCTTAGTTTTAGAGAAGTTTTTGTTATTGTGAGCCTAGTTATACGTAGCCCGAGGGCTAGAATTCCCTAGATCTCTTGTACTGTGCCAAACTGCGGGGAGTGAAGAATTCTGTGCCTTCAGGAGCGCGTTGGCGATGTGTGACTCAACTAGACGGTAAGGTCTTGATGACTCATGCCAGTATTGCCAAGACTTTAGAGGTAGAAGGAATCTTAAAGGTTATCTGACTCTAAATTAAAAATTCTTTCTTAGAGCATCCTTGACACCTGATTACCAGTCTCCTGCTTAAACAAGTTCAGTGGAGAGCCTGTATCTGTTCCATAGAATTGTACATGCTATCTGTTCTCCATCCCAGCCCTGCAAATATTTGAAAACAGTAGTCACGCATGGCCCTCCATTGCTGTAATGCTGATTAAATAGCTACGTTTTCTTCACCTGTGCTCATTGTAGCCTAGCTAACAGAACAATTAATAAATACGCTGGATCCTCTCCCCACTGTCCCTTCCATGTCTGTTGACACTGATCAGTGGGAAGTGGTGCTAGGATCGGTTAGAATGTCTGCAGTATCCCTTTCCTCCAAAAGAATGCCACTACCATCACCACCAGTACAACCACACCCCAAAAATGAAAAAATACTGGAGTAGTTTTAAGAGAGAGAGAGAGAGTGGTGGAGTTGAAGTTGACAATATTTTATCCATTTATTTAACAATGTGTATATGATGCTCACTATGTGCTAAGGCATGCTCTAAACATTTTATAAGTATTAACTCATTTAATTCTTGGAACAACCTTATGAGGAGATACATATTTACTCTCATTAAATGGATGAGGAAAACTCAGGCATAGTAAAGTTGAGTAACTTGTTATGGGACTTCTGGCTGTAAATGTCAAACTGGGATTAGAACCCAGGTGTCTTGGCTCCAGAGGCATATGCTGCATTCTTTCTAGAGATTAGAGAGCAGTGATGAGGTCAGCTAGTAGTAGGTACAGAAAAGAGATTGCAATGGAAAAACAAACTGGAAGGTTGTTACAATCTGGAGAAATAGTGACTTTTCACAGTATCAGTTCTAAAAATCTATCAGCCCTACAGCTCTGTATTGTTTAATTCTGGGGTAAAAGGGTGGAGAGAGTAAGAGAGTGAAGGAGGAAGCCTGTGAAGAGCTACTGAGAGTGAATTAGAAGTCAATGAAGTAGGGGGAAAATAGCAGCTTTTCTTTCTTCTCTGTTACAGACTGATTCAGAGCCATAGCTGAGGTTCTGCATCCCACACATTATATATCCACAGCTATATATTTGGCACAATACCATAACTGATATTTGTAATGATTGACTGTACTCAACAAAAAAAGAAATTTGCTTAAATCTAGAAATGTATAAAACAGGCCAAAATACTGTCAACAAAGCAGGATAAAGTATAGAGTACATTGTAGAATGATTTTTAAGTTTCAAGGAGTATTATGAGATTAAAACTGAAGGTTTCTAGAAAATGCATTTCCACGAGTCCCATTTTCTAATGTTGCTACATTATTATCCAACTCACGTTTCACCATCATATCCACAAGAATATTTTAAGCAAGCATTTGTTATGTGCTTTTGCTGCTCTTTGAGGGACTTACATTCTAGTTGGAAGACAGGACACATACAGAATAGCACATGCCAAGTGTCAAGTAAACATCATCAATAGTAGATGACTTAAGAGGTCAGAGAAGGCATGGATGAGTAAGGAACTATGCCAGAGAGGAGATAGGGTTTTGAGGGGAACGAATAGGACTAGCACTGTGCAACTTAGTGACTTTTAAGCAGATAGTTTCTCTCTACTCTGGAATCATCTAACCTCTTACGACCCTCCAAGTAAAAAGTTCTGTTATGGTATTTTGAGTCATTGAGGTTGATAAACATTTGTGATCTTGGAAAAATTGGTTCTATGTATTGAATGACATATACAAAGTTGTATTTAAGTTATTTTCCTTGAAGAGATCATACATTCAGAGTTTTTTAATTTAATAAACCTATGAAGTAGGGACCCAAATCAATATATAAAATATTGATAATGCCCCCACAAAAGTTCTGGGGTTACTGAATTTAGGAATGCAATGTTGAGTAAGTATTGCAAAAATGTGTGTAAATTTCTGCATTCAAATATTAGAAAAGATATATGTTCTTATCAGTAGATGCAGGAAAAGCATTCAGTCCTTCCATGTCTGTTGACACTGATCAGTGGGAAGTGGTGCTAGGATCGGTTAGAATGTCTGCAGTATCCCTTTCCTCCAAAAGAATGCCACTACCATCACCACCAGTACAACCACACCCCAAAAATGAAAAAATACTGGAGTAGTTTTAAGAGAGAGAGAGAGAGTGGTGGAGTTGAAGTTGACAATATTTTATCCATTTATTTAACAATGTGTATATGATGCTCACTATGTGCTAAGGCATGCTCTAAACATTTTATAAGTATTAACTCATTTAATTCTTGGAACAACCTTATGAGGAGATACATATTTACTCTCATTAAATGGATGAGGAAAACTCAGGCATAGTAAAGTTGAGTAACTTGTTATGGGACTTCTGGCTGTAAATGTCAAACTGGGATTAGAACCCAGGTGTCTTGGCTCCAGAGGCATATGCTGCATTCTTTCTAGAGATTAGAGAGCAGTGATGAGGTCAGCTAGTAGTAGGTACAGAAAAGAGATTGCAATGGAAAAACAAACTGGAAGGTTGTTACAATCTGGAGAAATAGTGACTTTTCACAGTATCAGTTCTAAAAATCTATCAGCCCTACAGCTCTGTATTGTTTAATTCTGGGGTAAAAGGGTGGAGAGAGTAAGAGAGTGAAGGAGGAAGCCTGTGAAGAGCTACTGAGAGTGAATTAGAAGTCAATGAAGTAGGGGGAAAATAGCAGCTTTTCTTTCTTCTCTGTTACAGACTGATTCAGAGCCATAGCTGAGGTTCTGCATCCCACACATTATATATCCACAGCTATATATTTGGCACAATACCATAACTGATATTTGTAATGATTGACTGTACTCAACAAAAAAAGAAATTTGCTTAAATCTAGAAATGTATAAAACAGGCCAAAATACTGTCAACAAAGCAGGATAAAGTATAGAGTACATTGTAGAATGATTTTTAAGTTTCAAGGAGTATTATGAGATTAAAACTGAAGGTTTCTAGAAAATGCATTTCCACGAGTCCCATTTTCTAATGTTGCTACATTATTATCCAACTCACGTTTCACCATCATATCCACAAGAATATTTTAAGCAAGCATTTGTTATGTGCTTTTGCTGCTCTTTGAGGGACTTACATTCTAGTTGGAAGACAGGACACATACAGAATAGCACATGCCAAGTGTCAAGTAAACATCATCAATAGTAGATGACTTAAGAGGTCAGAGAAGGCATGGATGAGTAAGGAACTGTGCCAGAGAGGAGATAGGGTTTTGAGGGGAACGAATAGGACTAGCACTGTGCAACTTAGTGACTTTTAAGCAGATAGTTTCTCTCTACTCTGGAATCATCTAACCTCTTACGACCCTCCAAGTAAAAAGTTCTGTTATGGTATTTTGAGTCATTGAGGTTGATAAACATTTGTGATCTTGGAAAAATTGGTTCTATGTATTGAATGACATATACAAAGTTGTATTTAAGTTATTTTCCTTGAAGAGATCATACATTTAGAGTTTTTTAATTTAATAAACCTATGAAGTAGGGACCCAAATCAATATATAAAATATTGATAATGCCCCCACAAAAGTTCTGGGGTTACTGAATTTAGGAATGCAATGTTGAGTAAGTATTGCAAAAATGTGTGTAAATTTCTGCATTCAAATATTAGAAAAGATATATGTTCTTATCAGTAGATGCAGGAAAAGCATTCAGTGTAACTTTTAATTATGATAAAAAGCACTTAGCAAGCCAATAATAGAATAAAACTTCCTTAACCTAATAGAGTACCAATAGAAAACCTACAATTAACATTATAGCAATGAGTCCAATTTGAAACAAATGTTTCCTTTAAAACCAGAAACAAGAGGAGGGATGCGTACTATCATAGCTTTTATTCAGTGCTGTACTGAAAATTCTAACCAGTGCAACATAACAAGGAAAAGTGAAAGAGACAAAGAAAGGAAAGGAAAAATCAAAACTCTCATTGTGATATAATTACCTACATAGAAAACTTAAATCTACAATTAATTATAAAAATTAGGAG